GATTTATCCAGTCGTTAATACCGGTGGAAAAAAAAAGACCAGCTTTAATCCTCGGCAAAATGAACGCCACCGTGTCTCGTTATCCACGATATACCGTGGAAACGAGGGGACGACGAAAAAATCCGAATCGCGGAGTCGTGTAATTACCGGCTATTGCAGAGCCCGGGTTAATTTGCATTTCGATGCAATTACGATTCACCGGCGTAATCTCATTTACGTCGATATCATGGCCCGTGAAACTTCACGAAGCATTATTGTTATAACTGACGCACGGTCGCGACGCCAACTCGTGCGTTGATTGTTAATTCTTCGAAGCTTTGAAACCATTATTGTCGTTTCACGATGTTTGTGAACGCCGAAAACAAAAGCATCTTGTTCCTCTTTGTTTCTATTGAATTATTTCTAACCAATCGCCGTAATTAACTCTTCCGTAACTGGAATTTAGAAGCAATTTTACGATAAGATTTTTTTTTAAATACTTTGGAGAAATTGTACGATGTGAAATATGATGAACGAGATTATTGCAATTTTGAAATTAATCTGTGGGTTCGTGGTTCCTTTATAACTATCACTTTTTTTTGCATATTCACCCTAGTGTACCGTGATTCTCATTATTTTTAGTTTATAACAATGTAATGTGTATATGTTGTTTCTTTGGCCAATAACAAGACTAGATTTATAATTGAACTTTATACTGTATTTAGTTTTAATATTATAGACTATTTTATACAGATACAGTATACTTTTATTTTAACACTTTTACTCTCTGCCATGCATTCTCACACTCTCTTTGAAAACTGGGGTTCCCCTTTCCTCTATCCCAACCCTTTTATAAGCTTCCTAGATGGCACCACACATCCACTCCTTTTACAGACACAAACACAGATACAGGAGAAAAAGCATTACATATATCTCTAACAGTAATGAACATATGTTCTAAAACTGATATAAAATGGGCTACCCAAAATTGACGTTCTAGATCAGAATACCACTTTAATATGTATCTCGTGTTATTGTCTGGAGTGTTCAAATTATCTGAAGTCAAAAGGTCACGAGGTATGAATAATTTTTTAACTCATCGCGTTGTTCTTAGAACTTGTGAGTGGGAAATAACCTGTACGTTTAATACATATGTATGTGTATTAATATTCTCGAATTCTGTACGTTATTGTACGTCGAATAGAAACTCTGATCGTTTCCGCACAGCGAAAGAATATTTATGTGTTCGATGTGAACGTGCCACTTGAAACGTCTTCGTACAATGGAATTAATTCTCATAAACGGGCAAAGTTTATATTTCAATACATTACAATACAATTACGATACAATAATCCAAAGAACTTCGACAAACTTTAAGAGTAGGACAAGTCGGAGGTTCAGACAATTTTTAAACATTGTAAGAAAGTAAATCACTTCGTTCGTACCACAGTAATAATAATAATAATAATACGTCTTTATTATACCAAACTTAAAAACATTAAGAGATTAGAATTGTGTAAAAGAAAAAATTATTAATGAAAGGTATACGTTTGGATACGAAGGTTAGGTACGGCTATGTTCTGTTGTTAACCTAACCTTGACTTATATTAGTTAAAGCTAATCGTTACTACGATTGCCATAATGAAATCATCTCTTAAATGCAGTATAGATTTTGTATAGACAAATTGAGTAAAAATGATCGATGGTATTAAAAGTTATCTTCCTTTATTAGTATTTTGCGATAAAATTTATAAAATATAGAAGTTTCAGAAGATAAAGAACAAAATGCGCTTTAGACACCAGAGTACTGACAACCTATGCTCTTTAACTTTGAATGCAGGAATTACGATGAACCTTTCCGACGCGCGAAGCCATATTATTATTCATCGATAACTCAAGCTTGTATTTTTATGATATTTAGTGCTCCTTTCATTTTAAACCTTCAATCACTGAGAAATACGAAGTATACGCAAATATGATAAATGCATTTCTTTCTTTTAAGTTCTGTTCATACTTTGACAAAGTAGAGTAGAGGTTAGTTTTAAATAAAATCCAATAAATCGAGATAAAATTTTAATTGAATAAATAAGATGTTTTTGCGAAAGATTTGATGGGTTTCATTTTAAATTTAATTTATACAATTAAATGTACATATGTATATAGATAAACGAAAGTGGACGAATTTTGTACTTTTACTAAATACTAACAAAAGAATACCTTGTTTAATTTTTTCTCATAGAATTCATCGTATATGCTAATAATTTAAAAAATCTAAACTATTTACTTCTTAATTTCATAACTCACTCTAGCTGCATGGTTCTTTATCCTGTCATTGGTTAACAATATCGAACGCTTACATAAAATCGATGTGTATGGTAGCATACATAATTGATAACGCTGTTCGAGAGCAGATGAAACATAGAAGGAAAATAAAGATTGGTTAGTAACCACAGACCATCCATGAATAATGTTCCAGATAATATTAACGACAAGAGACGACAATTTTGTAATGATAATTCTCTCGAATAACTTCGACATGACATTTAATAATGAAAGAGGTCTGTAGTTACTCGCCTTAGCCAATTTATCAGATTATAACTATCGGTGTTGCTGTACCTATCGACTATGCATTAGTATTATTAAAACACCTCGCGTATGAAAGTTAATATTTAAATGCAAATTTAATAAATTAGATAACTTTCTTACAGAACTCTTTCGTATTTAAAGTGTATCCAATTTATGCATGAGTTTATAATTTTATTTAACTTTGATTTAATTTATTCATTTAAAAATAAGGATCGTTGAACTTCTTGACTGCATTTTCTCTATAATATTTTGTACAGTTGTTTTCTTACTATTTTTATACGATCGCATGCTTGATATAATTCAATTAATTTGTTAATATTTCCGACATTCCAATTTACTTTGTTCGCGATTTTTGCACTGTTACAGTCAACTGACATTCAAACGAATTTATACGATTAACTGCGGCTGAAACCACCGGTCCGTGCAACCAAAAATAGCCGAATGTGCAATTTCTGGTTGAACGATTAAAAGTCGTTTCAACTTGATTGACATAGCGTTTACACGGGCACCTTTGATCGATTTCAGGACGATCGACTCGGTTGTTCGGACCAAAATTGTCTAATGTAAACGCAGCTCTACCGTTCCGAAAATATTCCACGACAAAGAAACATTTGCATTCTTTCAAGGGATGATTTCACCCCCCCAAACCGATATTCCTCACGAACGAATGATTTTGTGTTCCAAATTTTTTTTTTATTATTATACCACTTTACAATCAATTTCATTGGGGAATTTTTAGTAAATATATTGACTAAGACAATGCCATGAATAGTATACTGGTGAATACATAGGTTGAGATCGTATTACAAAAAGAACACAATTTTTAAAATTTTCCGAATTTTCAAGTATATTCAAGTATGTTCAGCCGCCCCAGGGAAAAATTTGAATGGGAGATTCTAAAGGCCAAAATAAGACGAAAATCAAGAATACCAATTTATTGATGGAGACTTCGTTAAAAAGTTGTTAACATTTAAAGTTCCGCCCGTAATGAATTTTTTTCTCGAAAATGCACAGGATTTCGGGGGTATGTGCATTCACCAAAAATGATTGTAATTGACCCCCGCAACCGAAAATAATTTTTACAGAAAGATTTGAAATTTTTTTTTCTCGTCGTAAAATTTCACACCTTCTCGAATTTTTTTCTAGAAAGTGCGTAGGATTTCGGAGGTATGTGACATGACCAAAAATGATTATAATTGACCCCCGCAACCGAAAATAATTTTTCCAGAATGATTTGAAATTTCTTTTTTTCGTCGTAAAATTTCACACCTTCTCCAATTTTTTTCTAGAAAGTGGGTAGGATTTCGGGGGTATGTCTATTCACCAGAAATAATTGTAATTGAACTCCGCAACCGAAAATAATTTTTCCAAAATGATTTGAAATTGTTGAATTTAATTGTTAATAGCTTTTTAACGAAGCCTCCATCAACAAATTGGTATTCTTGATTTTCGTCTTATTTTGGCCTCTAGAATTTCCCATTAAAATTTTTCACAGGGCTGGCCGAACATCCTGTATACATAATGTATACATATTTACACACTCTGGATATGCATATAAATTGCTTCTATAAGTTAAATTATTATTTAAAAAAATAAATCCTGCGAAGGTGATCTGAAGGTCACATTTCTTTTTTTGTTGACTATAATATTACACTACTAAGAATACCTTAAAAAATCATCGATGACCTTGAAATCTCGGATAGTATAACCTAGAAAGGAAAATCACCTTTCGTTTGCATTTGTTTTGTTTGTTATATCATTCTTGTATCTTTATTATAGAAACTAGTCGATTCGTTATTTAAAAAATAGATTTATGTGGTTATTCGGAATTTTTCGAAAATTTTTGTCTATTTAAATTACTTTGTGCGGATCGAAGTAGGCAATAATCAGTTGTAGCAGGGTCTAAAGAGAATGGTGGAAACGCAAGGAGCTTCCACTTGAACTCTTTTAGTTTCTGTTGTGTCTGCATCGAAGTGTGCGGTCTAGCGTTGCGATGAAAAACAACGCCCTTTCGGTTGGCTAAAATTGGACGTTTTTCTTTGACGGCTTGCTTTGGATGATCCAGTTGCCAACAATGCTTGCCCAAACAGATGATTTCGTTTCTTGGCAACGAGTCATAAAGTATGATCAAGTTCACGTGTACTTAGTTTCTGCAAAAATTTCATGAGAGAATTGCTCAGTGTTAAATTACAAAAGAATGGTACAAAATTTGTAAAAATATTGAGTATACGTCAAAGTTTGCCAGAAAAATTCAAGATGTCTTATGACCACCTCTAAAATGGACATGAGAATCTGTAATTAAAATTTCATAGATTCTTAACAACATTTGAATTCGTTTTATGTTGGAGGGGGAAGGGGAGGGGGGATTTGAACCTGGAGCAAAGATTCAGTCGTAGATGAAACGCTAATTCCGTCATTTTGTTGTTGGTTTACAGCCAGAAGAGGCAGCAACAGCAGTACAGCCACCAGCAACAGCAACAACATCAGCATCAACACCAGCATCAGCACCAGCACCAGCATCAACATGCCTCCTGGCATAGGACCACTTTGGCATCCTGACCACGGTGACCATGACCCTGACCACAAACCCAGTAGTTCTCCGAGGAGAAAGGATTCCCTTGCTGGCGAAGAAACGTATCGACGCGACTCCTTTTGCGGTTTCGTCTCGAAAAGATCTCTGGAAGACCCATCGAGACGATGGAAACACTGAAAGAGCCTTCGCACGACGGAGACACCGATGTTCCCCGACACATTCAGCCATCCACTCCGAGGCATTCGCCGTGATTCTGTTCGTCGAAGCTCTTCGCTTTGATCATCTTTGTTTCACGGATTTCCCCGTGCTCGCGAGAGAGATCCTCCCCCGTGCTCGTGATTTTCTTTGCTAGAGAGTTTCGATCGCCAGACCCGTTTGTCGGGACCTTTTTATCCGCGCGATCGTTTTCACAGACTTTCAGCAAGCATTGTAATTTCATTCGCGATCCCTTTTGTACCGAAAGAACGAACTTGCCGCTTAGCATATTTTCACGAGGCTCGTTGCCACTATGCGCCACCCTGGGGAAAACAACCTGGCCGCGCTAATTACGGATGCACGGTCATTGTTAGCGGAGGGGACGCAATAGTTGAAAATACGCTATCTTTAGAACAGAGTTATAGAGATAATGATACGCTGTTAAACGGATACGCTGAATGGAAATTAGGAATGTATTTTGCTGGGTAATCAGAAAAGTAAATTAAATATTAACACGTTGGGTGGCGCGCCAGTTTCCATGTTAAAGAGTGTCCTTGATTATCGTTTCAAATTCGATTTACTTATTGGTTTTGGTGTTGTAGGATCTGACTTGATCCGTAGGATCACCCAGATAAATTATTGTTTTACAGCATTTTCGAAGACTGTAACTTTATTTAATAGGGTTCGTTCGGTGGAAACGTTTTACCTGTGACCACTATGGCAGTCAACCTGTTAAGTTTGGGTTAGATTTAACACATTGGCGATCAAAATGTTCTTCAAACGTGCAATTTAAAATAACTTGCAGTAGCCAAATAAGTAAGTATCTATTGTATGACCATAAAATGGTACAAATTTTTGCGTCGACCATCGGTCTTTTCAGGGGGTCCTTTGTATCTGACTGGTGGAAGCATCCAGGGCAAAGTTGCAATAAAAAAAAAAGAAAAAACGCCGCAATGAAACGATAATTTTCATATCACGCCCTATTTGAACGTTTGGAAATTTAACTGTTCAATTTCCTCTGAAAAATTTACTTTCGAATTGTCGTACCGATTCTACCAGGTCAATCCGTAGGTTATTACAAATGTCTGTCGAAAGAAACAGAAACTAAATTTAGTTTAATCCAACCAGCGATGTATCTTTTTCAAGCTCTTATAATATCACTCTGGTTCTGATGCAACAAGTTTGAACTTTATTTTTGTTTCAAGCTTGTTATACCATTAAACACTTTTGTGGACTGCAAAACAGACAATAGTAGCTTGAATTAGTCTTACAAGCAAAAATAACGATCCAATTATACTATTTTTCAGTTCATTAATATGTAAATGCTTGAAAAGATTTATACAAGTATTCAACGCGCGTAAATTTCTTTAAAAATTGATACACAAAAAGGCCCTAAATTTACTCTTTGTAAACTAGACTGCTGCTTTAAGCGGGTGTTTCTATTCTCCCAACTAAACCTTCCTCTAACCGCTGTTTCACAGCTACACCGACTGGTGTATTTCTTGTGATCAATATCTTTTACCATAGAAAAGACTGCTGCAGCCGGTATAATGATATTGTTATTTCAATGTTTCCGAATAGTCATTATGTATAGAATTATTTATTATTTATCATTTTATATGAGATTTCGATACTAGACATGAAGTTTCTATCTCAAAGAAACAACAACGAGGGAATATTTTACATGTATAAAAGTTGAAATGTTGCTCTTCACTATAAACCAGCGTTAACCAACATAAGCTTAGAGTTAATTTAATATTATCTATGCACGCTCCATAGAAATGTAATATGAGGTATAGGTGCAATCGTGAAAACTGTAATATTTCTATTTCTATTTATTATTCCCAGGATTGGGATTCTCGAATCCTCGAAATCTAGAATTTTTATTTTCGATTTTTCGTTTACCCCTTCCTTGACCTCTTCTAGTTTTAATAGTATCTATAATCAGAATGTCACTATCAAATTTAACGGGATATCACAATCCTGAATATTATTTACGCCATTATATCTACTTCCAAACCTTTCAAAATCATTTCTGAGCAGTCCCTGTGCTAACACTTTTTGCAGGTTTTGCACGAAAATCAAGATTTTCTATAAAAAAAACTCTTATTCGTGTCTCTTGAGTTTTCAACGCTTGAAAATAAAAATATATGAAATCCGATAAGTAGCTAATTCAACAGACAAAAGCATTCAAGCGAAAGCAAATGTTAAACAAATACAGGGTGTTCGGCCACCCCTGGGAAAAATTTTAATGGGGGATTCTAAAGGCCAAAATAATGACGAAAATCAAGAATACCAATGTGTTGATAGAAGCTTCGTTAAAAAGTTATTAACAATTAATTCCAAAAATTTCAAATCGTTCTGGAAAAATTATTTTCGGTTGCGGGGGTCAATTACAATCATTTTTGGTCATTGCACATACCCACGAAATCCTACGCACTTTCGAGAAAAAAATTCTTTACCGAAAATCTAATTAGGCGCCTAAATATTTCGGCGAAAAAGAAAAATTTCAAATCGTTCTGGAAAAATTATTTTCAGATGCGGGGGTTAATTACAATCATTTTTGATGAATTAACATACCCCCGAAATCCCACCCAGTTTCTAAAAAAAAATTCGAGAACGTGTGAAATTTTACGACGAGAAAAAAAAGTTTCAAATCTTTCTGGAAAAATTATTTTCGGTTGCGGGAGTCAATTATAATCATTTTTTATCGTTGCACATACCCCCGAAATCCTACGTACTTTCAAAAAAAAAATTCTTTACCAAAAATCTAATTAGGTGCCTAAATTTTTCGGCGAAAAAGAAAAATTTCAAATCGTTCTGGAAAAATTATGTTCGATTGCGGGGATCAATTACAATCATTTTTGGTGAATAGACATACCCCCGAAATCCCACCCAGTTTCTAAAAAAAAATTCGAAAACGTGTGAAATTTTACGACGAGAAAAAAAAGTTTGAAATCTTTCTGGAAAAATTATTTTCGATTGCGGGAGTCAATTATAATCATTTTTTATCATTGCACATACCCCCGAAATCCTACGTACTTTCAAAAAAAAAATTCTTTACCAAAAATCTAATTAGGTGCCTAAATTTTTCGGCGAAAAAGAAAAATTTCAAATCGTTCTGGAAAAAGTATGTTCGGTTGCGGGGATCAATTACAATCATTTTTGGTGAATAGACATACCCCCGGAATTCTACGCATTTTCGAGAAAAAAATTCAATTTTGGTGGAACTTTAAACGTTAATAACTTTTTAACGAAGCCTCCATCAACAAATTGGTATTCTTGATTTTCGTCTTATTTTGGCCTCTAGAATCTCTCATTCAAATTTTTCCCAGGTGTGGCCGAACACCCTGTATAACATAAAAAGAAATGACTAATGAACTTATGGACTGATCTGGCATTGGATCGGCACGATGTTTCAATTTCCATAGCCCGTTGATATCCCGTGCTATTTCCATTGCGAAAAGGTAGAGAAAATGTCGCGACTTGGAAGAAATCGGATTTCGAGGCTCGATCTCTATTCTCGTAAAGTGGCAAGACGATGGCGTCTGACTCACTCGTTCCTTTAGAAGAAGTAGAACAATCCAGTGTAGCGAGTAGCAGATGGTATTTACCCGCAAAGAGATAGAATGTTAAGATTCTGGTAGAGATAGAGTGTGAATCAAGAGCGGAATGTAAATAAGACTCACGTGTTTATCCTGCTGTGTAAAGTGCAATGTATCATAAATGGATGTAATTTCATAGAATACCGATGCAACTGTACGATACGTACACGTTGGTAAACTGCATAATGGTGTGCGTTATCATTGAACACACTGTACGATCGTTACGTTTCAAGTGACCTCTGTTCGTTCACACGATCCTTTATTTAATATAACTTACACGTTACGCATAGAGTCGAAGAATGTTTACCCCGTAATTTTGGTTATTAAATGTGTAACTAGTTTTCTTAACGCCATTATCAATTATCTTCGCGTAATAATTTTTGTCTGCGAAGGTTGTATCATCGTTATGATCAGAATTAATCATTTTGTTCTTTTTTTTTTTTTGTTATTTTTCTCATCGATACCGAAGAGCAAAATTAATTTTATTGCGCGCGCAAGGAACGTTTCTAACGAATGGTTCTCGTTGATCGCTTAGAAATTTATTTAAACGTATTTCCGTTTGCCGTTCTTTCGTATTCTGCGAATCTTGTTTGAACGATTTAACTAAGTTTTAACATTATTGTTACTCGACCGTTGTTACAATCTGTTCGTATTATAAATGATTATTTTTGTCGAGCAAGCGTGGTAAACGATAAAGCACACGACACGTGTAAGCGACGAAACGTGCAATAACATTTAACTCAATAACGTGAACTCCTCTCACGGTCCGATCGGGACAGTCATCGATGCGATATGAACAAAATATTTCTGTCCTACGTCTAAGTCGAGTTTACATGCGAGAAGTGCAATTCTGTAATCGTACTGCTGTTTATGCGGATCAGCAAACATGTCGTTAAGTTCTAATTAATTATTCGCGCGTAAAAAGTGTTGCGAACGATCTTAGATTGCGAAGTACAGCGAGGCAAAGAATTATTTAAATTCGTAAGGCAATACATACATGAAAGCTATATCATTTTGAAACTGTCGTGCTTCGAAATCGATAGAACCGGAGCCTTCGTATCGTGGGTCACGAAGGACTTAATATAGCTACGGCTAATTAGGTCAAATCAATTTTTTATAGCCTGCATCCGTTGAGGTTTAAGTTGTATCGTGAGCCCATTTATTACACTATTCTTGATTATAATTTATTCAATCGCATATTAAAAGTTATCGAACAAGGACGTAACGATTACGTAGGTACATGCGCAATCTGTTAAGCATTAATTACAGATGGCATGAGAGGTAGAATCGTCGATTATAAAACAACTATAAAAAAAAAAGCTGAATCTACATCGTCTCGTTAATTAAATGAATTCAGTAGCGCGAAGGAAGCTCGTTAATAAATTGATAACAACAGTAACGTCACTTCTCACAAAATTATTGAATATATCGAAAAAATTATAAACGAATTACTCGAGTTATTTATTTATTTATTGATTTATTTTTATTCGTAGAATTAAATCTTACGGTTGACTATCAACTTGAAATAGTTTTGAATATTTAAACGAAAACGTGTAGTAAGGTCGATCGGTCCGTTTAAAGAATTGATCGAAGAACATATCATAAGCGCCATTTTGTAAATAATTATCGTTTAATGTCACCGTGCCAGTTCTATATCTGCTGCAAGTTATCCACCGATCACTATAAAATGTCTACGAACACGAACATTTTTACAGAAATAACAGATTCTTAATAAGGAAGAGTTATCTTTATTTATGTAAAATTAAAGGCAGGTTATATTCATAAGAGCCGAATATATTATTTTTCTGAAAGCGATAATTTATATACACGCGTTGTTCGTTTGTTCGACTTGTACTTGTAAACTCGACTCCGACAACCAAGATTAAGGTTAACCCTTTCGGTGCTGAATATACTTTTCACAAATGTGTGTTACGCGAGCGAAGTGTTTCGAAATCTGTGATGCACTCAGCGTCGAATACTGTTTTCTACATATAATAATGGTTTTCAATGGTTACTGTTACACTTTCGATGAAAACAGATATTAAAGCTTTCGTTAACCATTTGTTGCATGAAAGAATTAATGAATATTCAGTTAAAATAATATCTGTTTCAATGTCTCTTGCAATATAGAAAAAGAAATGGAAATAACAAGTAAGGTAACCTTGGATTTGAAAACAAACTATTTCACTCTAGAAATAGTTGTTTAGACTTAACCTCATAATAAACGGGACGCTAAAGATGCCTGTGAACAAATTGTTGAGCTACTAAAGGCGTCATAAACAGGTGTTTGGGAGCCTCCGATATACAAAACCATCTGTTTCTAAACTCGAGTGATCTTTCTGCAAGGCACCCATTCTGTTTAGTGTGTTCTAGTTATTCGAAGTTACCTCTGCTTCAGAGACGAGCGAAATTTTGTTCGAACAACAGATAACAAACGAAATCAAGTTGTAGGAATTTATTCGTGACGTATATTCGATCGAACGGTAGCATTTCTGTTTGTTCATTCTATAATTTAAATTCTAAATTGTATTTTATTTCTTTGTTCTACCCTTTTGGTTGAAAAGCACGCTACAAGCATCCTCCGAAAATCAATCGGACGGTTAAACACGCCCGTGGCGCTGACAGCGGGCAATTCTGAAACTCGCCTAAACGCGTTTATAGGATTCGAAGCACGTAGTCCATTGGACTTATAAAAGCGTTCACAGTGCCGAAAGGATTAAGATACTTTCTATGCCACGACCATGTATCGAAAGAAGAAAGGAAGTATGACTATGCGCGTCTAAAACGACGAAAATAGGTGCTATTCGATAGTTAAAGAGAAGGGAAAAAGTATTTCGGAGAACAAAAAGCACGAGACAAACGTATAGGTAGATTTTTTAGGTAGAGAAAATATTTTACATATTGTATACATAGGGCACGCAAGCGTACCGTATAATAAGGTACGCACGATTAAGTGTACCTATGACAATTAACATCCAAATAGCATTTCTCGGTAATTGCCACTCGTTTGCGAATAAAAGTTGTCTAATGATCGTGCAGTTTTCAGTTTATCGCTGAAAATGTACGTCGAGTAGTAATGATAATCACCTTGGAGTGAAATGTTGATAATTAAACATATATTTCGATAGAGTATAACACGGTTTTGAAAATTGCTCGAAGCTGTAATTTTGTATTACATTAACCTAGTTAAGATTGAATTTTAAATACTATTTCGCCACAGATAATTTAAATATCACAACCGAATATAAAAACAGAACAAGAATATATGTATTTGCTAAATCTTTTTGGAAGAACGTCAAGCACGGCTTGGTTAAATGAATTTTATTACACGTTGAAACGAATTCGGTGATTTGCTGGTATAAAGAATGCTAAAGTTATAATTATCGCGTCCCGCTTTCTTGCTACCGTAATATATTACGATGACGTTGATTATTTAACTTTGTCGCCGGATATTTATAATATAAATCGATTACGAAATCGCTTTCACTTTCCTCGTGCTCCACGAAGTACAAAAAACATTAATTATATTTAACACTTTGACTGTCACGTCACCCATGTATAAAGGTGACAGGATTTACCATTATTATACTAGAAAAATTAATTCTCAAGTTGAGACGTCGAGGATAGAACTTGGATAGAATTTGTAAATTTTTACAAGGCTAGGAAAATCATTACTGAAACAAATTTTAGGTTATGTAGCTTACAATGGTGTAAAATCAGAATGTTAATCTTGCAGAGGGGAAATAAACTTGGATAGAATTTGTAAATTTTTACAAGGCTAGGAAAATCATTACTGAAACAAATTTTAGGTTATGTAGCTTACAATCGTGTAAAATCAGAATTTTAGTCTTGCGGAAGGGAAATAAATTTGGATGGAATTTGTGAATTTTAACAAGGCTAAGAAAATCATTACTGAAACAAATTTTAGGTTATGTAAAATTTTAATCTTGCAGAATATTATATGTATAGTTTTCATATGGCAGTGAACGTGTTGAACGTGAATTTTCAAAGCAGCGTTATACCGATCGTCCAAATATTATAATAAATTACGTATCATCGGTAGCTTGATATTGAATTGTCGAAACGATTTAGAAGGAAATATATGATATTGGCGTGACATAAGAATTACGTACGAATTAATATTTATTAGCTGTTCCTTGCGTCAGATGTTATTACTTCATGCGGGCACGTTCGCTGTAAATTCGCAAATGCCGAGTTGACAAGCACCGAGAAAGTCGATCGTTATCAAAGAGAATTCGAATTACTCGGCTGCGACGAGAGTGACAGGTGACCTCCGACATTTATGTATACGAGACGAGGTTTCATAACGGAATTGTACACTATTAACGCGCGTATCCAAAATAGATGATGCATTCGATGTCCGAATATACGTTCCCGATTAGCAGTTAACAGGTTGCCGGTGTATCAGCGTTGTTCCCTAGCGAATCATACTTTCCATAATTCATGGATGAGGAAAATGCCCTGTGTCACGCAAAGCCAGACGAACGTGTTAAATAATTCAGTACGTTGCGAGCGTTACATTCTTAACGAATCCAGAAGGAATGTACTCGGTAAACTGCACAACTTCAATTACCACGACGTGTGAAAAATATTCATATTTTATCCCGAAAGTAATTTCTTTTCTTCAACGCTACGTACATTTGCTTTCGATGCCTAGAGAAAGATACTGGTACCTATTAATATTAAATATATTATTTATTAGAGAGAATATTCTGTTCCTAATATTTACTTGTTTGCTTTCGAAACGAAAAAAAAAAATTGCTTTGCAATATGACCTACCGAAAAACCATATTGTTTGATCCAAAGACACCATCTATCTTGAAAAAAAAAACTGAGCACTTCAGCCATAAGAATACTATGTAAAAGGCTCAGGGAATAATGTTTCTTACAACATGGACGAACCTTTCTCTTAAGTTCGAACAACTTCTTCGCAGATTTTTTTACTCGAACAATTATTCTTAAGAAGCATTTAGATAGAGACTGAGAAGAGACTGCTCGACATCGTGTTCACTGCGATCGTGGTTCACAATATTAATTATCATCACTATCCTCACTACCACGTGACACGTGGAATGTATAGATTTGTACTTGTTTGTTTATTTATTGTTAGGTAGCAAACATAAAAAAAAAAGAGAAGGAGAAACCACGAATGAAAGATTCGCGGTGCAGAGAGGAGCCAACTTTTAGATCAACCTTGACTGTTTAGCCTTTAGATTTTATTAGCTACATAAGAACGACTAAAACATTATTTTGTTGATATATATTGTACGACATTATTGATTATAAATCATAAATAATCTGTAAATATATGAGACCAACGCAACTTCGAATCTTTTTCCAAAATCCATCCACACGATCCTTATTAGTTGGTAGTTAAAAAAAAAAAATGTAATTATTTATTAACGGTCTCGTCATAATTACAAGTTATTATTATTTAAACACAGTAACGTTAACTTTCGTATATTTGTGGTTCATTCATTTATTAAAACAAAAAATATAAATTTCATAAATTCTTGCAAATTCCTCAAACACATGCAATGCAATATATTAAGTGGTTTTGCAATTTTTAATCCAATTGCATCAGAAACATATTTTACATTACTTGCTTTTCATCTGAAATGACCTGAGTAAAGTAAATTAAATAATTATACATGAATACAAATGAATGTACGAAAAAGGTCTGAAAGATTATAAAAAATATTCTTATTTTTTACACGTTGCCTGCTACTTCAAACTCACAACCCTGTTTCCATACATTCATTATAAACGAACGCTAATACTTATAAATCTTTAGATAATGTTAGTTATTAGGCATTCGTCGAGTTTGAAATTCCCGCCACAAGGAAAAGTTACCGCAAGATCGATCATTGGTCCCCACAAGTTGTTTTTAGTTTTAATATAAAACGAACGATTTATTTTTAAACGTGCTAGAAATATCTACTAGTGCAGGGATACGATTTAACAAAGCCATACGAATTTAACAGAAACAATGGAAAACAAAAAAATCTGAGTAACGAGTTTAGCGTTGCATTATCGGGCGGCCATTTTGTTGGAAACACGCGCGCGCGACTTGGCCACAAACAAAAAATAGTCCCAGCGCTAGTATGCCGTGAGGTTCGTAGAATTTTTCTTTCGTGATATCATTTTACGTCGGTTTTTGTGCACAGCTTGTGTCATAACCTTCGGTCAGGTTTCGCGAGGACTGATATCGTGCTGATAGTACGCAAAAGGCGTCGCTGTCAAAGAAACGTGCGAACGCGTTTGATTGGTCGAAACAAAAAAATCCGCGAAGATGCAGTCTGCATGAAATGCCACATAATGCGGCAGAAATACAATAGTGTGCGCAACGATTGGCCAATGTTCTATCGATGATGTTGTTCCTGACAAAAAATACAATATTAGTGGCATTTGAATTGTGGATTTCCGTGACACGTACGATACTAATAAATCAGAGTAAGCACATCAATGTACTATAATGCATGACGCACAGGCGCATTCATCCACACATAAACGTACACTTCAAAGTGATAGAGGTCACTAGCCTTACGCACCACGGGGTCGTGTTCTCGTTTTACCTCGGTACCGTGAAAAACTTCTTTCAACCAATATTACATACCATTTCGATCGGATTGTTTCCGTGACTGTCAGCCATAATGAGAAAATAAGACTCTTTTAGAACGAAAGAGGGAAAGAGAACGAGAGAAAGAAAGGGAGACAACAGAGTTGATTGACACGTCCCTGTGGTTTTATAAACTCTTACAGTGCGTAGTATTTTCTCTATCGTAGATTAAATTTCTTTGTTTCGGTATTGTTTATCTACGTTTAATCTCGTCAGACTGCATTAATGTTTCGTTTGTACGGTTTGTCGTTTCGCTGTCGTAATCGAATTGTCAAAGAGAAAATAAGTGAGGTTATGAACGTGTCGGCCAATAATGTTAAACTTTGATGGTGTCATTGAGTAACTAGTTAGTCAAACAAATATCACGGTTTATTCGAAAGTACATTTGATATCGTGCTACAAAGTGCATCCGTTATTTTAAAGTGAAAACGTGTAATTGAAGGTAATTTGAAATCTGTAAAATGCAGTCGCCTTAACCTTTTGTCATATACTTTCATTGATTGATGAAACACAATAAAGAGTGTATACGATTGTACTGCGATTTTTTTAGCATGAACTGAGATACGTTAAATACAATGCTTTCATTCTTAGTCTATAAATCTTAAGAATTTGTATTTCTGCAAATAGAAATGGTGACACAGATGTTGAGACATCATTTACGCAGAAAATTATTTCGTTAAAAACGACTGATCAATTTTAATAAATGTTAAAACGTATCGCGTAACTCGTTTAATGTAAATGTTTATATAATTTTAACTGCTAAGTAACCGTGAAATGTACAAATATTTATGAAATTTATATTAATATGAAAGATTATAAAGTATTGACAATATATATTGAAAAGTTGTTTTTATATACACTCGTACTAGATTGTTTTCTATAACGTAATATAATTCTAACCTCAAAATTATAGGTAAATCTGATTTTTCGCGATCGCTTTTATCGACCGTCTGTCGATAATAGTTATGTATAAAGAAATTATTAAAAATATTATTTATAACGGCATGATGTTTGTAATGCTAATTTACTATATTTCTTTTGCAGGACAAGAATGAAACATACCAATGAATAATGTATTATTTCGTAAGGGAAAGTATCTAACGTGTGAAGTATGTTGAGAAATACTCGCATGATAATATGATAATACTAAGTGCAAAGTATTTAGTAGAATCCTCATTTTGGAAAATGTTTGTAAATGCTGAAATATTACAAACGCATCTCTGAGACAAATCAACAGAACAATGGCAGAAAGTGAGATAGAAAACAATGATTTTAAGAAAATAGTGGACATGAAAGAAACAATAAATGATACAACTACGTCCACAAATGTAATGGAAGATATCGAGAAGCAAACAAAAAGTATTTCTAGTAAAAATATTTCAGAAGAAGACGATTCTTGCGAAAAAGACTTTGAAATAATTAATATTATCGATGTTAAAAAACAAAAAAAGGAGACGCGTCTTGAAGATTCAAAAACGCCCGAGAAAGTCACGTCCGAAAATGAACAACATTCTGAGGCTTGTCCGGAAGAAGAAGTATCATCGGACACAAAACAAAAAGAAATAGACGACAAAACTGAAAAATCTAAACAAATTGATAATTCAGATGCGAAAGCTAAAGATACACACGATGCAACTTATGTTCTGCAAGAAGAAGAAACACTGAACGAATTATTGAAAGTGGTGCACGAGAATCTAAGTTCAAACAATGCTTGCGAGTCTGATGGAGACACCAAAGATTCGAAAAAAGAAGATAACACCAATAATGAAGAAACTAAAGAAAAAGTTGAGGAAAAATCGGAAATAGAAAATATTGCGAAGGACGTTACAAGCTTCGAGACAAATGTTCCTGTGGAAGATGAAACTACAAAACTGAAAGAAGATTCTGAAACAAAGCATTCTATAGAGACGGTAGAACATATGGAAGTCGGAATAGTAGGACCACCTACAACTGTTAGCGAACTCATAAATGAAGAATTGAGGGCAGAATCTGCCTTGTCGACTAATCAAAAAGTTCAAGATCACGTAGCAGAATGGGTTCAAAATTCTGCTAAAGCCGAAGAATTAGTTGTAGAAGAGGATGAAGAAGAAGAAACTCCTATTCGTGAGATTCAACATGAAACAAAAAATCTTAGGGAAAAGAGGACCAGAAAGAAGAAAAGTAACGACGTTCTTGCCTTACCAACTAGGAAATCTCAAAGAATTGTTAGCAACATCATCAAAAAGAGTATTAAATGGTAAGTAGAATTTTATAGCTTTTCATTATCTAAAACCTTAACACAGAACGTCGCGCATTAAATTAAATTATTAAATTTAAAACCGTAAAATTATGCATGTTGTTGCTTTTTTTCAACTGAGAAGAGAAAGGGAAAGGTATACGAACGTCAGTCATCTTGACGCTCGTCTTAAGACTTCGGTCTTATACATAAGTTGGGAACAAATAAGTGGAATACCTAAACACAATGCTTCAAAATTATACACCTATAACTGAATTCGATAGTAAAAGTTAGCTTTTGTAAGATTTTATTTAATTGCCCCTAATACAGCATTATTCTATTCTTTGGTAATATTGAATACTTAAAGTAACGCATTGGAAATTAATTTTCTTTCATAATGTATGCATTGCATTAAAGATAAATGATCACTTTTCTAAATATCTCAAACTTTTTCTTACGTGTTATTGTACTAATACAAAGAACAGAAAGTTTACATTGCTCAATTACTTATGAAATTAATACATTACATTGAATTCCATATATTGCTGATTTATTATATTCGAAATACAGTGATATAAGTCGCGAACTGCGATGTAAAAATAATAAGAACACTTTAAAAGTAAATAAATAAATAGAAACATCGAGTGTACGTGAATATTCAACATTATACAAACATTATGGTTTATCTTTTCAAGCATAGATCAGCCTAACAGAATAAGTGAATGTAAGTGGTCAGTATTATCGTTTAGGATAAAAATTGCATGAGAAACAAATAAGAAAGTAACGAACTTTCTAAAGAATTCGGTGTTCCCTTGTCATAGTTAAATACGTTCATTATTCTTACATCGAGTCTCCTTTATAAAGTCCCCAGCTCTAGTTCGATCGACGTTTAGGGAATTTGTCGATTCGCGGGATTATTTCGCACGATCGCCGACGAAACGGAAAACACCTTCGTGTGTGTTTCGAAACGAATGCATGCAACGAAGAGTTGGGACACCGTGTGCAGAATCGTCTTTGTAACGAGGTTGCGGTCGTTCGCTAGCACGTTCTCCGCGCGGAGAACGGCCGCTCACTCGGCAACGACAAATTCGATCGATGAGATCTCACAGCGTCGGTCTAGTTACTTTTTTCGTTTCAATCGCCGATCCTATCCAAGATTGGCGTTATCGGCCGATAAAGTCGGGGATAAGAGGAGCACTGACGAGCGCGCAAACGCGCTCTAACGACGTGGAATCAGGGAAGTGGGAGAAGAAGGAAAAAACGGGGAGAGAAATATTGACCGTAGAACGATAAGCAACGTGGTAGTGTCGATAACAGGATGACTATTTCTGCCGTCGTCTCCTTTCTTCCGCTTACCTGTTCCACGGAACAGAAGTACGTCTTCGCCTACCATCTTTTCCCTTCGTTCTCGCTTATTTCTTTTTTTTTTCTCTCTTTCTTTAACAAATACGTGGCACGACTTATCTGCGAGATAATACTGATCGCACGTCAAGCGTTTGGTATCGTTACGGCAAGAAGTACAAAAAGAGCGTCGATCGAGTTTGGTCGTTAACCTCTTGACGCTTGGAATTGCACTTCCTCGAATTGATTGGTTACTCGGAAATCTTGTGCCCCCCCGAACATAAACCGTCTCTTCGCTTTTCGCTTAACCAGCGGACAAATTCTTTTTTTAAATATTATATGTGTGCGCGCATGTGCATGTACACTATTAAAAATTGTAACGAATTCATTATACATTTTATTCGAATAGTTCATATATTGAAACATAACCTATAATAAAATTAAAATCGTTCGTGAGTTAGAAAACAAAATTAAGTACGAAAATAGTCGGTACAATCGTATTATCGTTTATAGTAAATGTTTCTATTTTACCCTAAAGAGATTCTATTTATTTTAGTAATATGTTACAAATTCGTACATTTTTGTCCATTTTTCTTGCGTATGCAATTACGATCGATTTTTACGGAAATTTGGGTGGGTAAACACAATAAAAAATATGAAATATAAACTCTCTGGGATCTTGATATATTCCATGTTGTAATAAACATTATTTTATTCGTGGTTTATTTATTCTTGTTTTCCGTAGCCCAATAACATTTATGGCCGTGTACCGTTACTTATTCCTCGAATAACCAAAATTGATATTGCTGGCATTAAAATTCCCCGGTGTTGACCTCCACCGTGAGAGGCACGGAGGGTTTATGGCGCAAATTATGCTTGGCTAATTCAGAAAAATCGTACCTGTCCGTTCTGTCCGTTGGAGGGGGAGATATAAGACTCAGAAAATTGAAATACTTTCCTCCATAAATTTATACTTTTGTGAAATTCGTATTATTAAGCAAGTTGTAACGATTGAACATTATATTATGATACTTGAAACGCGGTTTAACAGATTACCATCAAATTTCAGAGGTTTCTTTCGTATTTTCCGATAAGCTAGTCGCTTTTTACCATAGGATTTCTTGGGCAACCGAGAATAATGGGAAAAATCCTAAACATGAAAAGTTTGAGGCAGGACCAAATATGTGGCCCAAAAAAGGTCCCGTGTTATCTTAATGGCCCAAAAAATCAAGTTCGTTCGACTGCACTGAAATTCTATACAGGGTGTTCGGCCACCCCTGGAAAAAATTTTAATGAGAGATTCTAGGGATCAAATTAAGACGAAAATCAAGAATACCAATTTGTTCATGGAGGCTTTGTTAAAAAGTTATTAATGTTTGAAGTTCCGCCCGTACTGAATTTTTTTCTCGAAAATGCGTAGGAATTCGGGGGCATGTCTATTCGCCAAAAATGATTGTAATTGACCCCCGCAACCGAAAATAATTTTTTCCAGAACGATTTGAAATTTTTTTTTTCGTTGAAAAATTTAGGCACCTAATTAGATTTTCGGTAAGGAATTTTGTTCTCTAAGTGCGTAGGATTTCGGGGATATGTTTAGTGACCAAAAAGTATTGCAATTGACCCCCGCAACCGAAAATAATTTTATATAATATTTTTATACTTTGTGTAAATAATAACGTAGTATTAGTCTGGTAGAATAATAATTTTTTTTCAATCAAATTTCTTACCCTGTTATCGTATCGAGTCAGCACTATTTACGATACAACCTGTACGATTTTCACTGTAATTGTAGAGTTCGCGCGATTTTATTTCAAATAATGTGATCTATATCACTCGCAAAGGATTCAATTAATTAACTCTCTGGTAGCTTTGGGTTTCCAATTGCCAATAAGCATCGATCTGTTTATTCACAAACCCAATATAAAGGATTGCAAAATTATTTTCTCCTTCCACAAAAAATTTAAATTAAAAATTTAAAAACTTTGTTGTATTGTGTTATTTCTCCTCGTCGTCATAAAGTACATAAACCTGTGCATATATGGTTTCAAATGCATAATAATGATACAAAAAAAATTCAACTACATTGGTTTCACAAATTGATTCATTTAATCAATGAACAATTTCCATTGGTCTCTATTACTTTCTTCCACCGTTCTACGAATTTTTCAATATCATCGTAACATTTTTCTGATTCTTCGTAAGTTTTGTAACGTTCGTTTAAAAAAATATTTAACAAAAAATATCGAAGGTCCAGAAACGTGTTCAAAATGAACGTTGGTATAATTGCTTATACAAACCTGTGTACTACTCGTATGTCTTAACAATGAACATAGCAAGTGAAAATGATCGAAATATAAAGAAGTACAAGTTTCCTAACCTAACTTGTGCCAATTATTACGCAACACTTAATTTTGACGCGAGAGCGATAATATATTAAAATTCGATTTTTTACGATAAATTGATTGCCTTTCTAATAGCTAACGAATGAATTTGCGTTTAGACAGTGAAAATTTCATAGGAAGTAAAAATGATCGAAATATAAAAAAGTACAAGTTTCCTAACCTAACTTGTGCCAGTTATTACATAACACTTAATTTTGACGTGAGAGTGATAACATATTTAAATTCGATTTTTTTACGATAAATTGATTGCCTTTCTAATGACAAACGAATGAATTTGCGTTTAAACAGTGAAAATTTCATAGGAAGTAAAAATGATTGAAATATAAACAGTACAAGTTTCCTAACCTGTCTTGTGCCAGTTATTACGTAACAGATAATTTTGATGCGATAATTAATTTTTAATATTTCTAACGAATCGATTGCTTTTCTAACGACGAGCGAATTTGAAAATGGATAAAATCGACGTAGCAAGACCCGTACGATTTTCGCTGCGAGCGACCGTGTGCAGCGTCTCCACCGCATCTGCGTAGCAAAATGTGAATCGGTCCTTGGGTAAACACGAGCCTGACGCGCGCGATCTAGAAGGTTAAGTCTATTTCAGTGCGAACACGGTTTGAAACGGAAACCCGGTGATACCGAGGTACCGGGCTCCCGTCGTGTTCCCATAGGCAGCGTCAAAAGTACCATAATTATTGGTCGTCCTAATTCCATTAATTATTTAAAGCGGACGTTCGTTTATCCGACGGTCGAAAGAACGCGCATCCGAGGTCTGGTCCCAGGCCAAGGCTGGTCTCACCCCGCTGCCCGGATGAAAGTGGAGCGGTCTGCTGCGAGCGGGAGGGGCGTTAATCCCTGCGAACGGTACCATAGAAACGGTACCGGTGGGGTCGTTACGTGTGCCTGCAGAGACCGGCGTCGAGCAACCACTCCGGGGCTGCCCCGGTACCAGATAAACGCTCGTGTGCGTGCGTTCGTGCGTGGTTGCGTGCGTGCGTGCATGCGTGCGTGCGTGCGTGCGTTCGAGCAAGAACCTACGATATAATCCATCCCAAGGCCCCCCCAAGAAAAGGGGAAGGTCTTCTTTGTCCCTCGGTCCCTCGGGCAAAGGACCGTAGCCAGATGTCGGCTGACGATCCTTGCGACTGCGTCGACACGCGCGTACTTCCTTATCGGTGTACGCGGTACCTATGTCGACGACGTAGGCGTACGCACGCGTATGCGATCGTCGCGTTGCTGCACGCTCACGGGTATTGCATATCCTTCGTGGGTATTTTTGGT